ATGGCCAAGGCCGCCGCTTCGCGGAGAGCGCGCTGCTGTGAACGGCGTCTCTTCACGCCTGCAGCTGTGCATAGGCGCTCCACCGCCTGGCGGTGCGCAGCCAGCCGCCTCGCGACACGTACATCGACCCGGACACCGGCTACAGCGTCTTCACGCAGGCGTACCTCAAGCGGCGCCCCTGCTGCGGGAACGGCTGCAGACACTGCCCGTGGGGGCACGTGAACGTGCCTGGCCGGAGGCGGTCCGAGGCGGAGCCGGAGGAAGAGGACGGACTGGACTGGTGAGAAGAGTGGCGCGCGCACGTGCAAGGTACTCTATCATTGAACTCTCTCGCCGGCGTCCTTAGTTTCCGAGAACGGCCGTCCCATCTCCCAATAAACCCAAAACAGTGCGGTGGAATTTACGGATTACGCGCTACACACTTGGGTCGCCGAGCAGTGTCACTCACACAAGCCGCAGCACAAGTGACTGAGGGCCAGTGAGGGCGAGCCCATCGCTGAGACAGCTGTGGCAGCCGCACAGTAGGCTGTGTCAACTGTGCAGAGCGTGTGAGCAGCAGAGGAGCTGCTCTCCAGGCTTCTGTCGCAAAGAGCTGCATGCCACCGAAGGCGCTGTCGAGGTTCGCCGAGCGCGGCGCAGGTTGGAGGAAGCCGCCACCGACGAGCGCGTTGGGCTTTTCACTCCTGACAAAGACGGGCACACAGCGGACGGTGCGGGGCGTGTGCCCGTTTCATAGCGGCGAGGCGCGGGACCGTCTGTGGCGAAGTGGGTCGCGTCCTCCACCGCGGGACGCGGCCACGAAAGGTGTGTAGACCCCAGTTCCAGCGGACGCAGCGAGCGTCGGGACTCCGTCCTAGCAGACGAAGTCTTCCTCGTGGTCTCCAAGGCCCGAATCGCGAGCTCGATCGATACGCGACACGGCTCGCCATTTAAGGTGCTCACGGAAGTTTCGGAAGTCCACCCAGATGCGGTCACCTTTTCCCGGAGTGGCCGATCTCCGTCAATTCAGCATTCACACCCTTTAGAGAGCCTGTGTCTGGAACCCTCCCCGGGGGGCGCGCGCCGCGCGCCGCACGCGCTGGACAGACAGGTAAGGTAAGGTAAGGTAGATTTCTCCACACACACAAAGGGTGGGGCAAGGGGGGGCGACCCTCGCATCTCCACGCCCGGACACGGGCAGGAGCCCCACGGCATTCAAAGTGCAAGCACTGGCCCGGTGCACGTGGGTGAGCAGCCTGCCCCTCCCACCCGACAAACCAACTCCCGCACACACACAATCGCACTCTGGCCATCGAATGACTCCGAATGACTCACTGTGTGTGCTAAGACAGAATCTCCGCAGACATCCAAAACGGGCCGTGCCGCGTTGTTGGTGCCTTCTCAAGTACTAGCATCCGGGCGCCGCACTCGAGTGGGCGGGTCACATCTCTGGGGGGAGGTGGGGGCCCCCGGAGGCACCGTGCGCCGCGCCGCAGTGCGGAAACGGGGCTCCGGCTCTACTAGTCTCTACTAGCACCGACTTCCCGATTAAGCTAGGTTAATCAGAGGGCAGATTTGGAGAGATCTCGAGGAGTACACACAGATAGACCCTCCAATCATGAGAAACCTCCAACCTGATCGGTCGTACTGACCGCCGACAGATCACTCCAGACAGCAGACAGGCCGACGTCTGCACGCGGCCGGCCGGGCGAGAGGCTTGACATGATCCGACCCTGCGACCCTGACGCTGCTGCTCTAGCTATCAGATAACTGCTGACTGCTGCCACAATGTGTGACCGGTGCTGGCCCACTTGGCGGCCTTCCCGGTCAGTGGTGAGGCGCAGTTCAGAGCTGTCGATGGCGCGATGCCGCACTGGTCCCACATTGGTGACACGAGACCACCACGTTTGCCGGTCCAAGGGAGAGGCACTGGCGCTGTCCTGAGAAAGTGCATGGTCCCTCTTGACTGCCCATGCGCGCGAGGCTGTGTAGGCATAGCCTCGAGAGTGCCAGCAGCCAGTCGCCGAGGCAGTTTGTGACGCGCATTGCGTCAGAAGCGTGCACGCGCTGGAAGGACACCTTCCTACTGGCCGTACGATCAGGTCGTCACTGAATGCTTGATACTAAGGCCGCGAGCTATGCAGGTGGTCAATTGTGCAGCAGGGCACGGTCAGCAGCGCCGACAGGCTGTCGCAAGGCGTGATAGCATGGCCGCAAGTACGGCGAATTCCTTGAAAACAAGTAAAAAATCGCGCAAAAAAGAAAAAAAATCCCGAAAAAATCGGCGCCTGCGGCGGGCCGTGGGACCCCATCTCCCCCCCGCATGGATACCCTCTAGGGCCCCCGCCTCCCCCCAGAGGGTCACATCTATGTGGGCCCAGTGTGCGCACTAGTCGCATATGCTAGTGCTATCCTGCCCTATGGGAGGCAGAGGGATGGGGGGAGGGGGGGGCAGAGGTAAGGTGGGGTGAGACTGGGGAGGGCCTCAAAGGTCCTCCATGGGGGTGGGGTCCGGCCCGAACAGGTCGAAGCCGGTCCCGCCATCGCCGCCGGCGCCGTCGCCCTCGTCCGCCTCGGAGGCGGAGGTCGTCGAGCGGGGCGTCTCGCCCGTCGCGAACCTGCCGCCGAACACGGCGTCGGCCGGCGCCGAGGCGCCGGCAGCCGTGATCAGGTCGGCGACCTTTCGGTCCCTGCAGGCCGCATCAATTTTGCCGCCCCGGGACGGCTCGTAGAGCTCGTTGGCGAGCCAGTCCCGGGCGACCTTGGTCGCCACGGAGCCCAGAGGGACCGTGGCGTACACCAGGTCGCCGAACCCGCTGCCCCCCTCGGGAGGCAGCGAGTAGGCGACCTGAATATTGGACCCCGCTGGGTTGCGCGCCGCCTGCGTCGCAGCCTCCAAGCCGTCCATGACGAACTCGACGTTCTCGCGCAGCTGCGCGTGCGGGTAGTCCGCACGCTCAGCCTCGCTCGCAGCCGCCGCCGCAGCCTTCTCCGCCTTGTTCGCCTTCTGCCGGGCCTTTTTGGCCCTGCGAGCCGCGGCCCGAGCATCCTTCTGCTCCTCCGTCAGCTCCTCCTTCCGCGGCGCGGTGCGCTCGACGAACGAGCGCTCCGCCGCCTGCACCGGCTCGCGGTCGCCCGCGGCCTTCTCGTGCTTCAGGTCGAAGGTCGCCGTCCCGTAGCCAGGGACCTCATACCTGAGCTGCGACACACCTGCAAGCCTTGCGGCAATGAGGCAGTCTTGCATGTGCGCGCGATCGCTGCTATTCCAGGGCCGTCCGCGGCGCATCCCCGGCGGCCCGACGGTGGCCGGCGCTTGCGCGCCAGCCCCGTCCGCCGCCGGATCCGCGGCCGCGGTCCCTGTCATAGCTACGCGCGCCATGGGGCGACGTGCCCGCCAGACAGGGGCGCGCGGAGCTGGTGTACCTAGAAGCCTGGGCGGCTCGAATTTATACTGAAAAGGAGTTACGACTACAGTACGCTTTGATCTCGACAGATCACACACACAGATCACTTCTCCTCGTCGACAGTCGGGTCCCCCGGGAGGAGCCACGACCGGCCACCATTCGCTTTTTGCGCTAACAACTCTCCCTGGCCTCCAGCACGGCGCACACCGACGTCTGCCTTGGCCGGGGCGCGCGACAGAATAGCAAAACAACCCGGGCGGCGAGTGACGCGCCTGCAGCGGGATGCGCTGCGGCCGTCAAGACATGACGAGGAGAGTGAGGACGGCGAGGACGCCTGCGAGAAGGGCAGAGGAGCGGTTGGCGGTTGGCGGAGGGGTCTGGGCCTCTCGGCGGTGCTGGAGGAGGGCGCGGGAGAGCGAGCGAGAGAGGAGCGTCGCGTTGCGTGCGCGGCGGCTGCTGTGGCGCGGTGGCTGCTGTGGCGTTGTGGCTATGGCGCTGCGTATGGCGCGGCGACACTGTGCCGGCACGGGACGCTGTGAGGTCCTCACACTGAGAGGTGTCGCCATGCGATGGTGGCCATTGCGTCAACCGCCGGGCGGCGCAGCAGAATGCGCGCAGGCAGGCAGGGCGGGCGCATGGCGAGGGCGGCAGCAGAGCGCTCACCAAGCAAACAGAGGATGATGCTCCACTGAGCTCGCTCGGAGGAGGCGGTCTGCGCGTAGAGCGCGTTCATGCGGCTGCGCATCGACTTCATCGACGAGTCCGCGCTGTCGATGTCGTCCTCCAGGTTCTCGAGGATCACCGTCTGCTCCTGTGAACGCCGGCGGCGGCGGCGTCAGGACCAGCGCGGGCGCTGCGAGATGAGGTGTGTCCTGCCACCACCAGCGTGTGCAGAGGTCACGTGGGAATCCGCTGCCGCGCGGTGGCCGACGCGCGAGGCTGCCACTTGCCTGCAACTCCGTCCGCATGTCGCCGGCGAGCGCCTTGACACGCTTGACGCCCTGGCCGAGAACGGAGAGCTGCTGGTCCTGCTCCTGCAGCAGGGACTGCGTCTGCCGCGACATGTCGGGCGATTCGCTTCCTCGTTTTCAACTCGGTCAGGACGGGGACGGTGAGGCTGGCAGGTGGGACCTGCTGGCGGCGGGGCGCGCCGCACGAGTTTGCCTCGAAAATAAAGGAAAAACTCGTGCTCCACGTCGCGAGAACGTTACGGAAAAGCATGCGCGAAGCTGCCTCTTTGCGCCGCTCGCTCGCGGCGGCGGGAGACATGGCCGCCGATGCGGCGCACTCGCTCGGCGGGCCTCCGTCCCACAGCCGCCCGGGCGTGCCAGGGGTCGGCCTGGCGCTGCGCTGCTCGCACGCTGCACTGCACAAAGCTGCGACAACGAGGGGAGGCTCCTGAGCTTCAGCGCTGAGCAGTGCAGCTGCGGGCGCTCGTGGGCGGCTGTGCAGTGGTGAGAGTGCCTGTTTGGAGGCGAGCTGGCGCTGCGCCAGGGTGCGCAGCATGCTCCCTTGCTCTGTCCTGAGGCATGCTGGTTGGCGCCCAGCACAATGCCCTGGATGCATTGCTCCACGCCGTGCTGACTGGTGTAGTACTGCCAGTGCGCCGACTGGCGCGCAGGGTGCGCGTCGTCGCGCGTGGCACGGGAGGCACGAGAGGCGCGGCTGTCGGTCAACCCCGCGGCGCATGCGCGCCGCGGAAGCTGCTCGACAGGCGACTTCATTGCGAACGCCGTCGCCGTTACTCCAACTTTCCTTTGCCGATCAAAAGCGCCCGTCCTTTGCTTTTTAGCCGCCGAAATTTAGCTTGCTGTTCTTCTTTATAGGCGTCTGCAACTTCCGAGCTGCGTATTCTTGTATTATCGTCGAGTAGTACAGGTACTGCGTTGGGGCGGTACGTATTGCCGTATCACTAGCTCCGAGTAGAGGGGGCGTGCTGCAGTTAAGGGGAAACCTGGTACGCGGGGCTAACCCTCGGAGAGTATTCTCATATTACTAGCTCCGAGTAGAGGGTGCGTTCTGCTGCTAGGGGAAACCCGGAGCGCGGTACTATCCCTCGGAGACCCGTGTTATGGCCCTGCGAACGCGCACCCCCGGGGCTAGGGCTCTCTTGCCCGTGGGCTAGAGCGTGCCGGCGGGCGCGCTCTAGCCGGTAACCCGATGCCGAGCGTCCGGCCAACTGGGTGCGCTTCTTAGCTCCCCGGTCCTGGACGTGAGGTTACCGACTGCACTCCAAGTGCTCCAAGTGCTCCAAGGTGCCACGTGCGGGCGTTGGAGCCGCGTCCCGTCGGCACCGTTCTAGGGTACCATACACACTTCCGGGCCGGTGTGCGGGGAGCGAACCTTAACGACCGCCCAGAAGCTTTCTGAGCGAACCAATCGGGCCAGGATCATCAGCATATGTCCCCTCCACAACATCGTGGGCGTTTGAGCGGTATTTGAGGAGCACCGCGACTCTGAAGTTCGGCCGGGTGGTCTGCAGACCCCCCCGGAGCAGCAGAGGCTCCGTGGGGTCGAAAAGTCGACGCTGGGAGTCGCACTCGTCAAGCCATCGCAGTACCACGCGGTCCGCACGTACCGCCCACATCCCCTCCACCGCTGAGAAGGCGCAGATCGACCGCCGGGCCGCGTAGTCGTCGTTAAGGAGCGGTTTTTGGATGCCAGCGGGTGTGAAGGCCGTTTCGGCCAGACTTGTAGCGCTATGCAGGGCCTCTCGCCTCGCCCGCGACGCCGCCGCCGACGCTCGCGCTGGCTGCCGCCGCGCCGCCAGCACGCCGCATCGACGAGTTCTTCCACTCCGAGTCGCATGCGCCGCCCTCGGACGCCGAGGTCCAGCTCCTCGCGCTGGTACTTGCCTCGACGCGTGATCGGCGCGAGCTGCAGGGCTGGGCGGCCGAGGTGGCGGCAGAGGAGTCCCGATTCTACGAGCTGGGCGACAAGTGGTCGCCGCCGCCCGCCTGGGCGCGCAACAAGTCCGTCTCGCACCGCTTCACCGAGTGGTGCATCGCCGCCTGGCAGGACAAGATGTGGACTCAGAGCGCGGCTGCTCTGAGTCTGCTACCGGCGGAGCACGCGGCGCCGTCGCAGCCAGCCGTCGCGCGCTACTACAGGAAGGTGTTCGGATCGAAGCCGGTGCTGCACGGGCCGATGCACGACGTCAAGAAGCGCAGGGGCGCGCTGCGCCGGACCGTGGCCGTCGTGCCCGTCGCGATGCTGATCAAGGAGTCGTACGCTGTGCTGCAGTCGGCGGCGTCGGGTGCTGAGCCGCCGCGGGCCCACAGGAGGGCTCGGAGCCGCGGCACCGGTCCGCGCCGCCAGCGGGGCGAGAGCACCAGCCTACAAGGGCCGACATGGCAGTTGCGACGGCGCTTTCACACACACACACACACACACACACACACACACACACACACACACACACACACACACACACACACACACACACACACAGTGAGTACACACACACACACACACACACACACACACGGCGAAAGGTTTCCCTGTAAGAATTCTTCTGAAAAACGGCGTTTTGGCCGCGGGGTACATCTCCGCGGGGTACATCTTGGACTGGATGCTGAAGATTGCCTCGCTTCTGCTCGTCGCTCTGTCGACGTCTGCCCTGCCGGTGCGTCGCTCCGCCCAGCCGCACTTACTCACATGCAGGCTTGAACTTCCACGCACCACACGAGTGCGCAGGCAGAAACCGTCGACGACATCAACCCAGCCGCTCGCGGCCTCGCCTTCGCGCCCAAGCCCTCTCCTCCCGTGCCCGACGTGGTCGACGACCCCGCCTGGCTCATCGCCACCTCTGGGTTCTGCTCGAACCTCAACGTCGTGATCAAGGAGCGCGACGTCGGAAAAGGCGAGACGGAGGGCGACACCGCGGCCCACTTCATGGCCGACATCGCCTTCAACTACTACCCGCAGACGGCGGTCAAGTTCACCGATTTCCCTCACCACCTCGCGAAGACCATCGAGGGCGACGCGGCTGAGGCGGACGCGCTGGTCTCGAGTGCGTGGGACCACAAGAACATCGCGCTGCTCGAGCCGACGTCCTCGTGCGGCGCTGGCGACCAGAGCAGTCAGGCGTGGGGGATCTCCGTCTTCAAGGTGGAGGAGCACCGCCACTGCACGGACGGCGAGACGGCGTGGGAGGGACATCCTTGCGTCCACTACTCCGGCTACGTCTCGGCGGCTACGTCCAACTTTGTCAACGTGAATGAGGGCCGGTTCGTCTGCCAGCTGTTTGTCGACGCCATCGTTTTCCACTTCAACGTCGTGTGAATGAGGGCCGATTCCACATGGTACGGGACCCCTGTCTGCTGTGTGAATAAAAAATTGTTTTCTTTAACTTCTTGCTTTCCTGAATATTCCCCCAAACCCGCTGTGGGCCACAGGGATGCACGGCAAAAAAACCGTGGCACATAGGGGACCGACCGACCGCCCGCGCGCCAGCGCGGGCGAAGAATTTTGAATACAGCATTCCTTCAGACGGCTATCGCGGTTGC